TACATACACCCTCACAGCCTGGCTGTCTGCCTGCCACGCACTGCACCGGCAGGGAAGAGCCCTGCCCAAAAGCACCTGGAGCTCTTCCCAAGCAGCACCTGAGGGGACATGGCCGACTTCTGCCCACAGGCTGCACTGGCGCCCACGGACAGAGGGATGCGGTGGTGATCAGGTTCCTCAACAGGAGGATCATACAGCCCCAGGAGGGACAGCGGCTGGAGTTGGACTGCTGGAGAAACAAAACCTCCTGGAAAGTAACCTGGATCCGCCTGGATAAGGATGGGAACCTTCACTTCATTCTCTCCAGTACCCATTCTTATTCAAACACCATGCAGGAGGGTGAGAAAACAGCTCCAAATTTTGAGGCGCTATGGAGAGGAAACTTCTATCAGCTGGTGGTAAAATCCTTCAGGGCACAGGATGAGGGGATCTATTTCTGCATCAACTACATCAACCCAGGGCTCCACATCAGCTCTGGGCAACCCGCCTTCTTCCCAGGTCAGCAACACCTTCACCCTCCTCGCTTACACCCACCACCCCTGCCCGTGCCTTCTCAATCCGGCCCATCGCCCACACTCCCCATATCCCTGCTTCTTTGCCCAAGCCGTCTCATCACACAGCACTGCTCCTCCTCACAGAGGCTCCCTGCCCACCAGCTCTGCTCACAGTACCGGCCCTGCCCAAACACACAGGTGGTCTCACAGCCCAGCAGCACCTCCCCATCCCATCAGTACCTCTGAGGGATGAGAGTTACAAAGTCCACAGCTTCCACATCTTTCCTCACCTCACAATAATCCAGACGGTCCTAACAAATTCTGAATGATAAAAACATCTCAAAAAGAAACTCACAGGTGAGGTGGAGGTTGCACTGTGGAAAGAATAGGTTCCCAGGACTCTCAAAGCACTCTTCTGAATAAGAAGGATCTCCTCATGTGCTGCTAAGTAATTAGGAACCGTAAGACTTCTATTTCCATGGTTGGGCAGTGTTTTGCTGTATCACTTTTCTAAATGGAACCTAGGAAGTTACGCCCAAGTTGGCCTTGTACTGGCAGTGGTGGCAGAAGGCGGTTCTATTCTATTTTGCTGTATTCATACATTTCTCCTTCCAGTCACAACAACAACAGCAGCACCCACCACACCCACTGCCACCAGCCAAAGCAGCCAGGTCACCACAAAGGACATCTCCCGGCACAGCCGGGATGCACGTAACTCAGCTGTGGGGAGGCAGGGGCTCTGCCAGCAGTGCTGCTTTGATTAGAAGTGGCCAAATTAAAGTCTGTGCTGACTTCAGGCCAGAGTCTGTGCTGAATTCAAGACACAGAGAGATGTTTATGGCTGGGCCTTTCCTCCATCCTCTCTTTCTTCCTGCAGAAACAAGTAACGAAAACACGCTGAATTCCATCTGTGATGTTTACCTCTGGGTTCGAGTGGCTGGCACCTGCCTCCTGCTCCTCACTGCCATAACCATCACCATCACGCACTGCCAAAGTAAGTCGCACCCTGACGCCCTGCAGAGGTTCCTGCAGCCTCACACCACAAAGCCCACACCGCAGCCCGCTCCTCCAGGGGAATGGGCTCTCTGCCTGTTGTGCCCAGACAGCCATTGCATATTCAGGACACAGGGAATGCAGAAGGATGTTCTTAAAATTCATATGCATATTTTCCCCATCTCCAAGTTTAGCACCAGAAGTATTTATCACATTCTACGCTAGCAAGAAATAGAATATAAGCAGTAAAACCTTATTCTAACAAACAGCATTGGCTAAAGTAGGTATCTGGGTGGGAAGTATCAGAACAAAAACATTAATCAACCTTAGATTTCTGCCATTTCGTGCTGATTAGAATTACCAGTGCAAATCCACTAGTTGCAATAATTTCTGCAGCATGCAGAACAAACCCTCATAGACACATTACTACAAGACACCCACATTTTCTGTTACAGGTCATGGCTCAACAGTGCAATTTGCTAAAGAGAAACTTCAGAAATAAGAGAGGACACAAAGGGGAAGAGAATCATTCAGAGGGATTCACACTGAATGGCTCTAATTCAGCACAGAGCCACCAGAGCAGGCACAGGGCCTTCCAGAGAGTCTGCCTAAAAGCAGATCTAGGTGTCTTCAGTCAGAACCATCCTAATGTTGCAAACCCACTTTGAAATGCAAGATTGTGAATTGAGAGTAAATTCAGAAATCTTCATTGATACTTTGGATTCCTCCTTGCGAAACAGTTCAGATGCTCCCATGCTAACAGAGGAAGCATCAGCAGTGCTGAAATAAACACAGCCACGCGTCACACGCGCTCACCACCAGCCCATCACTTGCAGGACCAAGCTCAGCGTAAGCAAGCAGTGCTGCGTCGCTGCTCAGCACAAGGCACACAGGCGTCCTCCTCAAGCACCGCACTGATCCCAGCAGCAGCACACACAGCTGCCCTGATGCAGCGCCGGCATTTGGCTGCTCCTTCTCAGCCTATGCCTCAATCACTCCCAAAACTCAGCTCTCGTACCCCAGCCTCCTTCTCACTTCTCAAGTATTCCTCATTAAACGCATCTAATTCTTAACGCTCTCAGTGTGTTTTTTGGATTCATTCATAGTTCTCATACGGGCAGAAGGACTGAACATCCTACAGTCAACACCAATAATGTTTAAAATAAAAGAAATCCACACACAACTATGTTGATATGTCTGTCGGAGCAGGGATCCATGGTGGGAAATCTCTCCTAGCTCTTCCACCTGAATTCCCATCTGCAAAGAACGAGATCATTCATCTCAAACTCACAACCTCCTGAGCCCATCCAAAACCTGTCAGACACTCCCATCCCTCCACGATTTTGTATACGTTCACCACAGTTATACATCATTGATTAACCGCTTACATAAATAAGTAAAAATCAATTGCACCACAGCCTTTACTAGTAATAAATTGTAATGCCTCTGTTTTTAAGGGCAGGAAGAATCTCCAAACCTGAGAGTTATCTCTTTCCCAGCTCTCTCAGTTGCACTATCAGTGCTGCTGATGGTCGCTGCTCAGCAGGTGAGGACTCAGCACAACTTTGGATAAGTGGATCTGAAACATCATAATTTACCCTTGGATGACTTAAGTTATCCCACTGTAGAAGGCTTCACAGCAGCTTTCCTTACTCACCCCAATGCTTTCAGGCCCAATGAAATGAGCCCAGAGATAACCAGACAATTCTGGCTAAATTTCTCACCAAACACCACTTCCATCAGACAGCGGTGCCTGGTTTCAAGCATCCAGGAAAAAGGGGCATATTTGCATAACAAAAATACATCACAAATGACCGCAAAGCCACGAAATAACAACAGAAGACACAAATAACACCAACCAAGGGAAACTGTCACTACTGTGTGTGCAAAGCTGCAGGAAACCCAGCACTTACCAGTGTGTGAGTGGTCACCTGGAGGCAAAAGCAAGGGACCTCAGTGTTGAAGCATAGAAGGGTATTTTTGGCAGGGCGGAAGTCCCTGTGGTTGTAGAACAAAAACACAAGAATTTAAACTTAAAAAATAAGTTCCCATGAGTCTGGGACATGGGGCTGTAGTGATGGCTACCACTTCATAGACCTCCTGCCCTGCACACTGCGGCTTCTGCACAGAAAGTATAAAGACGAAATGTGGAGAACAGCTGAGCTGAAGCACTCAGCTACATGTCAGCAATGCTATGGACCCTGAGATGAGAAGTGCACATGGATCAACCTGAAAACAGAATAGAATAACATGCACTAAAATAAAATCCACTGCATAAAATACAACTTGCAATCCATTTCAACGGGACTTATCCTTGTTATCTGCAAATGTGGACATGTTGATTGAGCCTCAAATGGCAGAGAGACAGCAGTTTATGGCGGCTGATTTGATTTCAAGCATGAACATTGTCAATGTCTGAATCACAACTGAAGACGCTGCAGCAAAATCCCTGAGGCATCATCAAAAACAACTGTATTCTGATGAACAAGTTTGAGATCAACAACTGAAGTGCTGCAGAAATCATTCTTTTCTGAATGCCACCTCTTCACACAAGAGGGTCCTGATGACATCACATCCTCTCCTATAAGTTACACTGCCTCCAAAGTTCAGTGAGAAAGATCAGCCGCGCTCCGCTGCACCGCCCCGAGGACGATGGCCGGCTCTCCTGCACTGCTCCTCCTGCTCAGCCTGGGGCTCTGTGAGTATGGAAGCAGGAAGGATGGAATTCAGGGCTGCTCAGTGACCGCACAGGAAAGCAGGAGCGGAGGGACTGCAGTGCGATACGCAGCAGGAGCAGAGCTTGTTCAGACAGGTGTTGCTGGAGGGGATGGGGAAGGGGAGAGAGGGGCAGTTTAGAAGTTGTTACTAAGGAACCATCTGTCAAAGACGTTGGGAAAATGGCAGCAGCCCCAAGATGGCAGCTGAAGGGTTGCTCTGAAGGCCAGCATCCATCTCAAGAGCCTGGTGCTCACAACACTGAGTCCCCAGGGATTCCAGCACAGCACCCAAGCGTGCTGGACACCGAGAAACTCCCTTCGCATTCACCATCACAGCCCGGCTGCCTGCCTGCCACGCACCACACCAGCAGGGAAGAGCCCTGCCCAAAGGCCATGGGAATTCTTTCCGAGCAGCACCTGAGGGGACATGGCCGACTTCTGCCCACAGGCTGCACCACTGCCCGGGGACAGAGGATGGAGGCCAGGTTCCTCAACAGGAATATGAAGCACCCCCAAGAGGGACAGCGGCTGGAGCTGGAGTGCCTGCATTATGAGAGAAACTGACCCATCTTCTGGATCCGCCTGGACAACAGTGTGAACCTTCACTTCATTCTCTCCAGAACGCAATCTTATTCATCTACCTTGCAGAAGGGTGAGAAAACAGCTCCAAACTTTGAGGCATCATGGAAAGGAAACTCCTATCGGCTGGTGGTAAAGTCCTTCAGGGCACAGGACGAAGGGATCTATTTCTGCATCAACTACATCAACCCAGTGCTGCACATCAGCTCTGGGCAACCCGCCTTCTTCCCAGGTCAGCAACACCTTCACCCTCCTCGCTTACACCCACCACCCCTGCCCGTGCCTTCTCAATCCGGCCCATCGCCCACACTCCCCATGTCCCTGCTTCTTTGCCCAAGCCGTCTCATCACACAGCACTGCTCCTCCTCACAGAGGCTCCCTGCCCACCAGCTCTGCTCTGAGGGAGGAGAGTTACAAAGTCCGCAGCCACCACCTCCTTCCTCACCTCACACTAATCCTGAATGTCCTGACAGCCTCTGTATGTTTACAGCACCTCAAAAAGGAACTAGCAGGTGAGGTGGAGGTTGGTCTGTGGAAAGGAAAGGATCCCAGATTTCTAAAAACATTGTTCCTAATAAGAAGGATCTCTGAGTGTGCTGCCGTGGAATTACAAACCCTCAGCCTTCTATTTCCATGGTTGGGCATGGTTTCAGTGTATCACATTTCCAAATGAGACCTACAAAGACTCTCCCCGTGTTGTGCGTGTCCAGGTTGTTGTCGCAAAAGGCAGAGTTATGGTATCTAGCTCTATTCATCCTTTTCTCTTTCCAGTAAAAACAACAGGAGCACCCACCACACATGCTGCCACCACCCAGAGCCAGGTCACCACGAAGGACAACTCGCAACAGGGCCCGCATGCAGGTAAGTCAGCTGCGGGGAGGCAGGGGCTCTGCCAGCAGTGCTGCTTTGGTTAGAAGAGGCCAAATTAAAGTCTGTGCTGGCTACAGGCATTTCAGGATGCAGGGAGATGTGTGCAGCTGGGACTTCACTCTTTGTTCTCTCTCCTTTCTTTCTGCAGGAACAAGCAACGAGAACACACCAAGATTCTACTGTAAAATGGTCATGTGGGTTAACCTGGCTGTCACCTGCCTCCTGCTCCTCACTGCCATAACCATCACCATCACGCACTGCCAAAGTAAGTCGCACCCTGACACCTTGCAGAGGTTCCTGCAGCCTCACACCACAGAGCACAGCCCGCTCCTCCAGGGCAATGCGCTCTCTGCCTGTTGCAGCCATTGCGCATCCAGGACACAGGGAATGCTGAAGGACTGCTCTTAAAATTTTTTTCCACATTTTGCTCATCACTAGATTTAGGTTCAGAAATATATATCACATTCTACACTTACAGATAAGAGACTATAAACAGGCATTACTGGATTTCTTAACAAATTATAAGCAGACAAGAAATCACAACCTGCGTTGACGTTGCCATCCTGATATCACGATCTTGGGGTTGAAATTGCCAGAATCCAAAACATTACTCTACCTTTTATTTTGGCCTTTTTACACTGATCAGGACTACCTGTGAAGATCCACTAACTGCAGTAATTGCTCTAGCAAGCAGCACTAACGCTGAAGGAGAGACTGTAACACAACTTCTGCATTTGCTGCTAAATTTCTGGGTCAACATTGTAATTCAACAAAACCGATACACAACAGAGAAGCAAAATGGGAAGGAGTACCATGGAAGGAGATTCATCCTGGAGGGCTCTAAATCAGCTTACAGCCAACACAATGCCTTTAACAGACTCTGCCTAAAAGCAGAACCGGGTATTTTTCTTCATTGTTGTAAAACCCCAATTTCAAATGCAAGATTGTGATTTAAGTGTAAGCTTAACAATTTCATTAATACTTTGGATTCTTCCTTAAGAAACAGATCAGATGGTCCCATGCTAACAGAAGAAGCATCAGCAGTGCTGAAATAAACACAGCCA